TGCTGTTTTGAAAATACAAATTAAGTGTATAACCACAAAATGTTATGTAAAAATATAACATAATTTCTGATGGTCATTACGTGTTAACTAAGGCTATTATAAACATGATTGGATATAAAGACCAATCACTACAAAGTGACGGGCCTGCAGGAAACTTGCCCAGTTGCCTGCTGTTATTCCTGAACCATATGTTTAGTATGTTTTTGACACCTGCAGAAAAAAAGTAACATCATTGTGTTGTCAGCTGTCTTAGATGAAATAATTCACCATAGGGGCATAGAACTGAACTCCTGTGAAAGCAGTACTGAACAGTTTAAACACTACTTTCAACTCTTGGTCAATGGTGAAAACAGAAATCAATCTATCAATTAGACCAACCATTAGTAGAGTTTTAGATGAAGTGAGGATGGCAAGCCAGCTGTTCGCATAACATGTTTCTTCTCCTTTGTTATGAAGTTATGTGTTTTTTTCTGTTATAATGAGATCAGGCAGGTATTCATGGTGTCCATATGCACTGTCAATGCCCAGGGGCAACACTCATTGGTGTATTTAGCAAGTGGAGAAAAAAGATAGAGGGGGTTAGACTGTACCACCATCTGGGCATCGGTGTCAGAATGCAGCAGTGTATAGATGGAGAGCTTCATCCACAAACCTTGGGGGTTAGCAATAGAGGCAAAGCTCTCATTAACATCAAAGCTAATCAGATTCTGAAACATGAGTCTTTGGCAGCCGTGGCTGTGTATCAGTGTTGTGTTCATTTGTAATGAGGTGACGATGATTGAGTAGACCATGCAGACCAGGGGTGAGGCTTTGTCATGCAAGAATGTTTCTAAAATAATGCATCGTCTTGGTAAATTGTTGTGAAGAAAGGGGATTTAGTCAAGAAAAAACAATCCCAGTTGTTTACAGTCTGTACAGAAACAATTACATTTCATACGTGGCCAAATATTTAGATGTACCCCTTTCTATCACCCTAACAGCCAGGCTCAGTTCTCCTGCAAGTCAAACACTGATTTTCAGCACTTCAGCATCTCGCTAGCTCTACAGAAAACGAGGAATCATGAAGGGAGTGACTTCTTTTTAAGTGGCAGGTAATTTCAAATTCAACGTTTCTATCAGCTTAACAAATATCAGCAAACACACAAACTGTTGGTGTGCAGTTTGTCACAGTGTGTTGCTAGCTAAAGGTCTAGCTGCTGTACTTCACAGGGAGAGAAAAGAAAGAGAGCTAACTTCAGTCAGAGATGGACAAAGATATAAGACGACAGACAGAACAGGGTAGCAAGAATTATATTTAAAGGTAAGGACATCTCAGTGACCCTTGATAAACTGCAAATGTAATGAATGTAATGTCATCATTTTAATCACATGCTGGATCTGTATATAATGTGTTTTGATACATTTTCTCTTTTCATTTTGTGAAACAAGGTTTTCCATATGTAGAGAATTTCAGATGCTCAGTACTCACTGGATATGTTCACAGATTTTTACACTCTGCAGAGTTTCAGAATCAGAATACTTTAATAAGCCCTAAGGAAATTATGTGTTTTACAGGGCTTTGCATACTGTTCAGCTCACTTACAGTATAAGAATGCAGGTTTTGCTTTAACAGGCCCATAAATGTGTATACTGTTTTTATGCATGTAGTCCTATGAGTTACACAAGAAACCCATTACAGCCAGTCAAGCACACACAGTCATAATAACACAATGAAGACAGAAACTGAGGAGCGAGATACTGTGTCACTGTGTGTTCATACTTAATTTAACAACGAGAATGATATTACTTGGTAAAATATAGAATTCCCTTTTAAATGAGTACTTCAGCAGTTTGGGAAATACACATTTTGACTCACATGCCAAGAGTGTGACGCCCACAGACTATGACCACTCATGTTTTAAGGCTATCAGAAGGGGTTTGTTGGCTTAGATGGCAATAAAGACCACAGTTGTGAGAAATGAGCAGTCCAAAGAACATTAGCTCTCTTTAAAGACGATCAGAATCTGAATATTTTATTAATTCCATGTCATTGTCATTTCACACAAGTCAAGTCATGATTTCACAGCCAGATTATAGCCTGTTTTCCTGTGTTCCTTTCATTGCAATATCTCATTCAGAATATCTTCCATCTGTTTTTTTATTTAAAAAATAAATAAACAAAAGTATAGATGCCAGAAAAAGTACAGTATAAATCAGTTCAGTGGTTTAGATAAACTAACACAAAAGCTTACCATTCATAAAAATTCTTTTTTGTTTGTTTCTCGTATGTTAACCCTTTAATATCAATGATAAGAGATTACTGATATTATTGTTGCTGTTTTTATTTTAGTTAGTCATTTCAGTAACAGTATACAAAAATACACATTCTGCTTGTCATGTGTGCCTATTTTATGCCTTGAACATGTGATTTCACATCATTAACTGACAAGGGTTAAGGTTAAAGTTAAATGACACACAATAAGGTTAGGTCAAGGTGAGGTCAGAAATGTGAGGCTGTCTGTGTCATGAAATGGCATTCAAAAAATCAGAAACTCTGCATGGATAGCATACATAATAATCTGATGTAAATTCATATTACATTTCTTCCACAAACCTCTTTTTTATAAAACAGGGACAAAAACTTTTCATATTCTTTATTATGTATTAAAGACTTGAGGCATATTTTTATTCTTTTATAATACTCTGCTTCTTACTCTTGTGCTCACAGTTGTGTGGGATGTAGGGGAGCAGGTCCCATTGGCATTTGTTATTTAATTGTTAATGTTAAGCATAAGGTTATGTTACTTGTATTTCATGTTGGCCTCACTCTCCTTGTTAACATGAGTCCCAGGGTAAACTTTGTTACAGTGCTGCATGATTCATCAGTGCACCCAGGGTCAGGCAATATATGCTCTGTATTTCTCAGGCATGAAGCTAAATACTTAAGGCCTCTGTCAGGAGAATACTAGAGTAGTTGACACTGTTCTTGGACTCCAAAATATTGTTGGAAACACAGTGGGACACTTTATTATATTAATGAAATACTTTCTTCTATTAGAAATTAGAATGTTACGCCCCCGTCTAGGGGTACAGGAACGCAACACAAGTTTGAAAGAATTGCCCCGCCCTGGTCCCCAAAACCATACACAAGGAAACCGATTTCTCAGTGAATCGTGGTTTATTTTTCTACACTGCAAAAATGAAACTCCGGGGTGAACAAAGGCCAAAATAACAAACAAAACAAGCTAAGTCAGGAGGAGGTGTTATCTAAAACCCTATGTGAAATCAAACAAAAGACAAGCGCTACACCTAACTCCCTAACAGAAATAAACAGGAGAAAACAGTGCAAGGAAAAACAATAAGGCAGCTCACCCCTTCTGTTGCAGTGCTATTTACAATGAAAACTAATGTACACACTATATACAAAACTCCGAAAAGTCGCACAAAGTCACAGGCACAAAAGTCTCAGGTTTTGGAGGCCAGGGTCAGGTCTGCTGCTGCTGTCAGTGGCTGCCCCGGGACAACTGCTGGTGAGGGATTTGAATGAAGATCACATGGCCAGGGGACCAATCAGCAGCCGTCAGCTCATCCACTCCGGGACCTGCAAAGACTTAAAGGCACAGACAACCACAGCCACCAAAACAGATTATGGACGGGGCCATAACATAGAATTCTTAAAAACTGGATTTAATTGCGTCATCATCATTATTATTAATGTAATTATCTAATTAGGAGGCCTGCATTGTGACTATCTTGGCTGGACAGTGACACTTTTAAAATAGAAATAGCTAAAGCATATTTGCACATGATGCCATAAAAATGAAAAGAACTAATACCGGCCTTGTGGGGGGGGGAAAGTTGACAACAAGCTTTGCTGATGTTTCCAAAGCAGCATTTGAAAGGGAAGTGTTTCTCTCCAAAGTGGAGAAGGGTTCAGCTGGAACAACTATAGTTAAGCAGTTCCCGTGACGAGTGTAACAGATGGTTTACTGTCACATTGATGCTGGCAGCCATAATCCTGCATGCAGTCTGTGTAGTTTTTTCCTCCACATTATCTTGAAACTACAACATTAACAAGAGCATATTCTACCTTTGTGATTCTTTAATTGTTTAATGCATTCAAGTTTTATTTTTCATTGCGACAACTTACTAATGTTATGATGAAAATCTAGGTTATTGTTACTGTACACAGAGCAGTGCAGAGTCAACCATGTAGGCTGCCATTAGTGACATTTTTCCATCTCTATTGAAAATGCTGAGGGCTGCTACAGCTTTTTATGAAGCCTTAAAGTATTTCTCATGAACACTGTAGCTGGCAAAGAACTAAGGATTTACTCTATTTAGCATCTTTAATGATATTGGAAGTGAGGTTGTTATGCTAGTTTGACATTGAGGCTTCCAAGAAAGAAAACAACATTACACAACACATACCTTTCAGTTGTTTATAGACCACGGGTGTTTCCAGGATTGTTTAAATTGGGTTTCAAATAGTAAATGTTTTCAATTTAAATGTAATGTAAAATTTTCTGTAGCCTTTCATTGCACATAATATGATCTAACATTAAATAGTTGTATATTTAAAGTGATGCACCGAGGAGAACAAAACTGTTTGGACAAAACTGTGATCTGTTACTTGACATCATCCCCCCACTTACTTGACATACTGCTGGGATTGTATAATAACTAGTGCTGTCAAAATTAACACGTTAATTGTTGAGATCAATGCGAAATGTTTATCACGTTAAAAAAATTAACGCTGTTTTTTTTTTAATTTCCTGTAATCTAAGACCTTTAAACTCATGAGCACCTCTGGAGGAGGGGGCAACAGTGTGCTGTGCTGGCATTTGGCCTGACAGAAATGATTAGAAGAAGAAGAAGTGACACCATGCTACTATCTAGCTAACACTAGCAAACACACGCAAGCATGGATGAGGGCGGACTTTTGGGTGGAAAGTTTCTCTTTAAGAAGTTGCCTGATGGCTTGTTGGACAAAATGAGAGTAAGGTGCACAATTTGCTGAATTCAGGTACCACAGAAGCAGTTCATCACTGGTGTATCACCTGAGAGCAAAACACCCAACTGAATCCGCCTCTACGGGACCTCGCCAGTCTACGCTTCAGGAGTATGGTGCTCGTGGACGAATAACAAAAAATGTGAGAGAAAAATTAACCAATTCCTTGGTTGTTTGGATAGCTAAAAACTGCCGACCAGTTAGCATAGTAGAAGATGATGGACTGAGAGAAGTCATTCGCGCTACATCGGGAGATGTGTGTTACAATCTGCCCTCAAGAGGAACCATTGTGTCGAGACTGCACACTTTGTATGAGGACCAGAGGGCTCAGAGGGCTCAGCAGTCCAGCAAGCTTGTGCAAGTAAGGAACGTCGCTCTCACCGGAGACCACTGGACTTTGGTGAACAACGATAATTACTTGGGGGTCACGGTGCATTTTATTGATAACGACTGGACTGTCCAATCGTTTGCACTAACAGTGAGTAAAACTGAAGAGAGACACTATGCTGAGGCGTGCGCTGATCATTTTCTGAATGTTGCAAACGAATGGAAAATCAAGGACAAGGTAACCACGCTTGGCACCGACAGTGCTCGTAACATGGTTGCAGCCGCCAGACTACTTCCATTTGAACACATGCCCTGCATGGCCCACATTCTGCAAAGAACGGTCACAGTTTCTCTTAATGACAGCGCATTTGAAAGGGCTCTGGCCAAATGTCGCAAGATTGTTGGACATTTTAAGCATAGTCCAGCAAACGCTCAGGAATTAAAGGCACAGCAAGCTGCACATGGACATCAAACAGAACCGCTTGTTCAGGACGTTCCAACAAGATGGAACTCCACCCTAGAGATGATCAAGCGGATCCAGAGAAACAAATCTGGGCTGACCACCATCCTGACTCAACAAAACAGCAAGGTGACCATGTTGACTGACCAGGAGCTTGACAGACTGCAAAAGCTGGAGGAACTACTGGAACCTTGCAGGTAAATCATTTTGTTTCTCATGATTGTGTGTCTATCTTTGCATTCTAGCTTTGTTTTCAAGTATGTTCTCCACCTCCACCTCTCTGTGTATTTTCATATGTGGTATTTATGTTTGTCTCTGTGTGATTAATAGAAAAATACAGACTTGATCTTTCTATTGCAGATATGTTACCGAACTGCTGGGGGGAGAGCGGTATGTCTCCTGTTCCATGGTGTTGCCAGCCTTGTGTCATTTGTTCAGGATTATGGAGCCCTCAGATGATGACCCAGTCTACGTTTTGAGGTTTAAGAAGGTTTTTACCACAGACCTAGCTCAGCGGAGGGACAGCAGCAATCTCACATGGCTGAAGATCGCTACTGCCCTTGATCCCAGGTTTAAAGACCTTAAATGCCTTTCCAAAGATGAAAGAAGAGAGGTGTGGGCTCAGTACATGACCTTCTGATGGCAGAGACGATGCACACCAACCATCTGCTCAGACAACAGAGGAACCCTCACCAAAGAAGAGCAAGATGTCCATCTGCTTGCTGGGTTCTCCTGATTCAGATACAGAGGAAGAGGAAGATGCTATAGACTGCTGTCTGAATCTGTACAAAGCAGAGCCCAAAATTGACATAGGAGAGTGTCCACTACAGTGGTGGTTAAAGAGAGAAGGAGCACATGCCAGGCTGGCACCTATTGCACGCAAGTACCTGTCAACCCCTGCATCCACAGTGCCTTGTGAGAGATTATTCTCACTCTCAGGTCACATCATTCAAAAGAAGTGTGCATCTTTGTCATTAGACAATGTAAACAGAATAGTCTGCCTCAGTAACTGGCTGAGTGCAAAGAAGGACTAAGCCAGATTGGTCCTTTGAAGTGAAAAATGTTCAACATTCTGGGTCATTTTGTGTTTTAAATACTGAGTTTTGTGCACCCTTTATTTTTATGGTATTCAATTTAACCTTTAGGCCTGGGTTCGGTCACTGTTGATAGCCTTAAAAGTTTTTTTGTAAGTTTTAACTGTGTTAAAGATTGATGAAAACTATTAAAATTCTCTTTGAATTTCAGCATAAATTCTTTGTGTTTATTCTGCATTTACGTCATTGTATTGCATAAATGTCTGTTACAATCTTAAAATATAAACTTGAAAAAATGTAATTGGAGCCAGGTTATTGATCAAGTAATTGCGATTAATCGCGATTAATAACAGAAAATTGTGAGATTAATTAGTTAATTTTTTTAAATCTATTGACAGCACTAAATGATAGTTTATTAACTTATTCATGTTATTCAGAGACACTGCTGTGAAGACGTTTTATTATTTTCTGCTGATGTAGTCAAATAAAACACATGAAAGATGGATCTTTACAAACTGATATTTGTATCCTCAATATTTTGTTTGTCAATATTGTTTATTTAATGTGATAAGTTGCACTACAAAGTAGGTGATTCTTTTAAATGACTCTGTTAGTGATACAGCGGTTACCTGTATTTTTCCTCCAGGCATTCTGATACATTGTTTGATCTTGTGGCAGCAGTTGTAAAGATATGACACTTGTAATGTTCACTTGACTTTCTTACAGCTTGCTCCCCCAGGGAAGTGTTAGAATTCCTTTCTGTCTACATCTTAACCTGTATTAATAGCTCATTTAGCTCAAGCTCTGTCCACCCACTGTAAAAGTCAGTTGCTCAGCCATGCCTGAAAAAGCCATTATTGAAGCCTACGATTCTATATAATTTGAGAACGGCTCTGGGAACATGACAAAACGGTTTGCACCATTTTTTAAACCCCATGTGGGGATCTAGATTCTGGCCTTCTCCCAGTGTTTGCGTGGGTTCTCTCCAGGTACTCTGGCTTCCTCCCACAGTCCAAAGACATGCAGTTAGTGGGGTTAAGTTAATTGGTAATTCCAAATTGCACATAGGTGTGAATGGTTGTCTGTCCGAAAGACTGGCAACCTGTCCAGCATGTACCCCGCCTCTCACCCTATGAGAGTTGGGATAGGCCCCAATCCCCTGTGACACTGACAAGGATAAGTGGAAGACTATGGATGGATGACATTAGAAAAAAACAGAGATTTAAGTGATAAGACACGATACAGTAGGGCTCCATCCTTGACAAACATCGACACAAGAAAAGATTTAAACTAACATGACAAACAGAGACAAAAGTGACTATGGGTCACTTGAGACATGATAGATAAACTTTGTATATCTTTATATATATATATATATATATATATACACCAGTGTTGGTCAAGTTACTTGAAAAACTGTACTGATTACCTCTCCAAAACAGTAACCCCGTTATGATGCATGCTCAATCATCCAGGTGAGTAAACCTCAAAAGTTGATTCTGTTCATCCGGACGTAGCATTTTGTGGCAGAAACGTTTCGTCACTCATCCAAGTGACTTCTTCAGTCTCAGCTGACTGCAGGTTTCCCCAGTCTTATAAAGAGTACATTTGCATAATGACCGAAACCAACCCAGTGAAGGAACAATGGGCTGGGAGGTCAGTTCCTTAATCTTAATTATGCAAATACTCATGACCATTGATCAACAGCCACTGACCAAAACCCACTGATCAATGGCCATGAGTACCATTCACAGAGAGTTGGGGAATGGCTGCAATCACAGCATTGTAAGATGGCAAAAGATGTACCCTTAGGTCCCCTAAAACAGGATTACTCCTCAAAGTTTGCAAATGAGCTCTTCAGTTAAAGGCTTTCGGGCAACAAAAATCCTCCAGAAGGCACAGCACCAGTTGCTTAATGAACGGGTGAGGCAAACAAATTTTACCATCGACATGCTAAAATCTTCTAGATGAGAATACTTTTAAAAAGGTGTTTGACTTTACTGAGAAGGCTCGTCTAGCACAACAGAAAAAGTCTAAGACCAGAAGACCAGGCAACAAAGGAAGTTTGACTTACTTGTTCTACATCGGAAACCACCACAAAATACGGAGAGTTTCCTCAGTGGCCAGAAGAGAGAAGGATGCAATGCCGAGGATGTGGACAAGTGGGTGAAGAATTTGTCTGACAGAAAGCTCACCCAAACAGAGAAAAACATCGTTGCTAAAGGGTTGAATTTTGCTGTCACACTGAGACAAATCCCACTAGAGGAACTGATCACAGCCACAGAAACAGCAATTTGCAACAACAATATTGCAGAAGTGGAAGCAGAGCAACTACGGATGAAAGTTTTGGCCTGTCTCAGCAATGCAAAGCCCCCAGCATCCAACATCATCATGGAGGAGAGGAAGGCACTCACATCACTTAGTAATGAGAACAACATTATCATCCTTCCGGCAGACAAGGGTAGGTGCACAGTATTGCTAAACCAGAAAGACTATCATGCGACAATTTGTCACTACTCAGTGATGAAAATACTTATGAGCCCCTGAAACGAGACCCAGGAAGTGGTTACAGGAAGAGGGTGATAGATTGTCTGAAGCAGTTAGAACAAGACAAGGCTATTGACCAGACCTCATAACACAGGCAATACCCAGGGGAATCTACACCAAGTCTGTATGGTTACATAAACAGGGTGCACCTTTAAGACCGATTGCCTGTATGATCAACTCGGTCACCTATAACATCTCCAAGTTTCTGGCTTCAAAAACCTGAAACCTGGCCCCACCTTATCATGCGAATGGGGCCAGGTTTCACAATGAACTCACCCGAAACTCTGGCTGACTGGGACCCACACCCAGTTTCACACCTTGGCTCAGGCGATTAGAGGATCATCAGGGGGTCCTTTTGTCCCTCTGTGGAGGGTTACTCCCACTAGATTTACATCTGGGACTCTCCACCATTTGACCTTAGAACTGAAGAAGCTTCTCGGATGAGAGGTGAAACGTCTTCAAGCAACTTAAAGAAGTCCAGACGCTTTTCTTTGCAAGCTCCTTTGACTACGATGACCTGGATGACTGAGAACCTTCACAGACACCACATCCAGAACACTTTGGATTCTGTTGAGAAGGTGAGAGATGTCATTATGGAGGCAGATGAAACCATGGTCTCGTACGACATTACATCTCTCTTCACTTGCATCCCAGTCACGGAAGCGTTGGAGGTAGTGCGTAAGAGATTACAGGATGACCCCAACCTCAGCAACAGGACCACTCTCAGCATCGACCAAGTGTGTTTGCTTTTGGAACTGTGTCTTCATTCCACCTACTTCACATACAAGGGTCAGTTCTACAGGCAGAAACATGGGTGTGCTATGGGCTCCCCAGTTTCACGCATCGTGGCCATTGTAATTAATTACTGTACATGGAAGAAGTGGAAAAGAGGGCTTTACCCTGGAACACCACCAAGCCATTGATTCAGATATGTGGATGACACCTAGGTGAAAATCAAATCTCAGGACGTTTTCACGGATCACATTAACTCGGTGGACCAACACATCAAATTACCAGGGAGGATATGAAAAGTGGCAGGTAGCCTTCTTAGACTGTGAGATTTCCATCAGTAATGGGGGACATCTAAAAGCTGATGTGTACCGTGAACCTACACATACAGATCAGTATTTAATGTTTGACTCTCATCATCCACTGGAGCACAAACTGGGTGTCATCAGGACGCTACAACACAGAGCGAACACCATCCCCACTGACACAGCGGCCAGGGAAGCAGAAGAACAGCACATCAAGAAGGCCCTGAGTAAATGTGGTTATCCCAGCTGGACTTTTGTCAAAGCTGGGAATGCGCCAAAAGAAAGCTCCAGCCGATCCAAGAGAGAAGGACAACCACTGCCAAAGCGAAAACCTGTAGTGATCCCGTACGTGTCAGGAGTATCGGAGCAGTTGAGACACATTTTTTCTAAACACCGGGTCTCTGTGGCTTTTAAACCCCAAAACACGCTGCGCCAAAAATTGGTCCACCCCAAGGATTGGGTCCCCCGACACAAACAGAGTAACATAGTGCACGCTGTTAAGTGCCAGGAGGATTCCCAGGATTTATGCATCGGCGAAACCAAACAACCTCTGGCAAAGCAGATGGCACAACACAAAAGAGCTACCTCGTCAGGCCAGGAATCTGCAGTCTATTTACACCTACAGGCCAGTGGACACTCTTTCAATGATGAGAATGTACACATCCTGGACAGGGAGGAATGCTGGTTTGAGCGCAGAGTCAAAGAGGCCATTCACGTGAAAATGGAAAGACCATTTCTGAATCAAGGAGGAGGCCTAAGGGTACATCTGCCACCATCTTACAATGCTGTGATTGCAGCCATTCCCCAATTCTCTGTGAATGGTACTCATGGCCATTGATCAGTGGGCTTTGATCAGTGGGTTTTGGTCAGCGGGTTTTAGTCAGCCCATTGTTCCTTCACTGGGTTGGGTTCAGTCATTATGCAAATGTCCTGTTTATAAGATCGGGGAAACCTGCAGTCAGCTGAGACTGAAGAAGTCACTTGGATGAGTGACGAAACGTTTCTCCCACAAAACGTTACATCCA